GGTTAGATGCTGTGCCCAGGGATGTGGCAGGTCCCATGGCCGGGGGCTCTGGGGTGACACACATGGTGTCCCTGGGGTGCTGTGCCCATGGGTGCTGCGGGTCCCATGGCTGGGGTCTCTGGGGTGCCACACATGGTATTCCTGGGGTGCTGTGCCCATGGGTCCTGTGGGTGCCATGCCTGGCATCTCAGGGGTGACACACATGGTTTTCCCTGGGGTGCTGTCCCCATGGGTGCTCCAGGTCCCATGCCTGGGGTCACTGGGGTGCCACACGTGGTGTCCCTGGGGTGCTGTGCCCATGGGTGCTGCAGGTCCCATGCCCAGTGTCTCTGGGGTGCCACACGTGGTGTCCCCTGGGGTGCTGTGCCCATGGGTCCTCTGGGTGCCATGCCCAGTGTCTCTGAGGTGCCAAGCCCATGGGACCTATGGGTGCCCTGGGGGTCCCCCGGGGGTGCTGGGGACACCCTGGCTGGCAGCAGGGCCGCAGCTGGGGGGACGCTGGCACGGCTGCTCCCCCGGGCAGTGCCCAGCACCCCTGAGATCGACCTGGCGGAGTCGTTGGTGGCCGATAACTGTGTGACCCTGGCATGGAGGATGCCCGACGACGACAGCAAGATCGACCATTACGTACTGGAGTATCGCAGGACCAACTTCGAGGGCCCACCCCGTGCCAAGGAGGACCAGCCCTGGATGGTGGTCGAGGGCATCAAGACCACTGAGTACACCCTCTCTGGTGAGGGCACGGGGGGCAAAAATAGCCCCAAATGTGCCCCTCTGGGAGCGGGCACTATGGGTGGCAGGGGTCTGGGTAGCTTTGTAGGGGACATGGGGGTCGGTGCCCCCCCTGTGCCCTGCTTTGTGACCCTGCTGTGCCCACAGGGCTGAAGTTTGACATGAAATACATGAATTTTCGAGTACGGGCGTGTAACAAGGCTGTGGCGGGGGAGTTCTCCGAGCCGGTCACTTTGGAAACAAAAGGTGGGTACCGGGGGATGGCAGGGTCCCCCCCCTGTGCCACCCCATGCTGTCCCTTCCCAAGTGTGCCCCAGGGGGTCCGTGACCCCTTGGTGCCAGGCGAGGCCAGGAGGAGGATGAGGAGGAGGAGGAGGATTGTTGGGGTGGGAGGGGGGGGGACGCGCTGATGGTGGCTGTCCCCAGCGTTCATGTTTCGGCTGGACGCCAGCACGTGCCACCAGAACCTGCGGGGGGAGGAGCTGAGCGTGGAGTGGGACGCCACGGGGGGCAAGGTGCAGGACGTCAAGGCACGCGAGAAGGATGGCAAGGGCAGGACGGCTTCACCTGCCAACTCTCCTGCCAGGTAAGGTCACACACACACCCCCCCCCACACCACCACCCACCCACCCAGCATTGTCCCCACTCCCTGGGTCGTGCCAACCCAACCCTCCTGGCCGGCGTCCGTCTGTCCTTAGGGTGGTGCAGTCGCCCAAGAGGATGCCCTCGGGGCGCGGGGGCAGAGATCGCTTCACCGCCGAGTCCTACACGGTTCTGGGTGAGAGCTGGGGGCACCCACTGGGTGCTGTTCCACGAGGGGAGGGGGACATGGAGGGGAGAAGGTGGCCCTGAGGGCGTAGGGGGTGATGTAGGTGGGCATGGGGCACCCAAAAGGACCTGGTGGGGATGAGGACAGGATGGGGCACCCACTGGGTGCTGTTCCACGAGGGGAGGGGGACATGGAGGGGAGAAGGTGGCCCTGAGGGCGTAGGGGGTGATGTAGGTGGGCATGGGGCACCCAAAAGGACCTGGTGGAGTCCTACACGGTTCTGGGTGAGAGCTGGGGGCACCCACTGGGTGCTGTTCTACAAGGGGGCACCCACTGGGTGCTACACCATGAGGGGAAGGGGACACGGAGGGGAGAAGGTGGCTCTGAGGGCATAGGGGGTGATGTAGGTGGGCATGGGGCACCCAAAAGGACCTGGTGGGGATGAGGACAGGATGGGGCACCCACTGGGTGCTGCGCCACAAGGAGAGGGGGAGAAGGTGGCCCTGAGGGCATAGGGGGTGATGTAGGTGGGCACAGGGCACCCAAAAGGACCTGGTGGAGTCCTACACGGTTCTGGGTGAGAGCTGGGGGCACCCACTGGGTGCTGTTCTACAAGGGGAAGGTGGCCCGGAGGGGAGAAGGTGGCCCTGAGGGGAGAAGGGGGCCCTGAGGGCGTAGGGGGTGATGTAGGTGGGCACAGGGCACCCAAAAGGACCTGGTGGGGCTGAGGACAGGATGGGGCACCCACCAGGTGCTACACCATGAGGGGAGGGGGACACGGAGGGGAGAAGGTGGCCCTGAGGGGAGAAGGTGGCCCTGAGGGCATAGGGGGTGATGTAGGTGGGCACAGGGCACCCAAAAGGACCTGGTGGGGATGAGGACAGGATGGGGCACCCACTGGGTGCTGCACCACGAGGGGAAGGGGACATGGAGGGGAGAAGGTGGCTCTGAGGGCACAGGGGGTGATGTAGGTGGGCACAGGGCACCCAAAAGGACCTGGTGGGGCTGAGGACAGGATGGGGCACCCACCACGTGCTACACCATGAGGGGAGAGGGACACGGAGGGGAGAAGGTGGCCCTGAGTGCATAGGGGGGGATGTAGGTGGGCACAGGGCACCCAAAAGGACCTGGTGGGGCTGAGGACAGGATGGGGCACCCACCACGTGCTACACCATGAGGGGAGAGGGACACGGAGGGGAGAAGGTGGCCCTGAGTGCATAGGGGGGGATGTAGGTGGGCACAGGGCACCCAAAAGGACCTGGTGGGGCTGAGGACAGGATGGGGCACCCACCACGTGCTACACCATGAGGGGAGAGGGACACGGAGGGGAGAAGGTGGCCCTGAGTGCATAGGGGGGGATGTAGGTGGGCACAGGGCACCCAAAAGGACCTGGTGGGGCTGAGGACAGGATGGGACACCCATGGGGTGATGGTGTCACCCGCAGGTGACACGCTGATCGATGGGGACGACCACTACTGGGAGGTGCGGTACGACCGGGACAGCAAAGCTTTCGGCGTGGGGGTGGCATATCGCAGCCTGGGCAAATTCGACCAGTTGGGCAAGACCTCGGCCTCCTGGTGCCTCCACCTCAACAACTGGCTGCAGGTCAGCTTCAGCGCCAAGCACGCCAACAAGGCCAAGGTGCTGGACGTGCCCGTGCCCGACTGCATCGGCGTCTACTGCAACTTCCATGAAGGTGGGTGCGGGATGGGGTGGGGATGGGGCAGTGTTGGGGGTGGGCAAAGGGTCCACCACTGCCATGGGTGCCACCACCACTGTGGAGACCAGCATGTCCACCATGGGCATTGCCACCAGCATGTCCAGTGTGGGCACTGCCACCACCATGGGCACCAGCATGTCCAGCATGGGCACCACCACCACCGTGGAGACCAGCATGTCCACCATGGGCACCACCACCACCGTGGAGACCAGCATGTCCACCATGGGCATTGCCACCAGCATGTCCAGTGTGGGCACTGCCACCACCATGGGCACCAGCATGTCCAGCATGGGCACCACCACCACCATGGAGACCAGCATGTCCAATATGGGCATTGCCACCAGCATGTCCAGTGTGGGCACTGGCACCACTATGTCCGCTATGGGCATGGCCACCACCCTGGGCACCAGCATGTCCAGTGTGGGCACTGGCACCACCATGGGCACCAGTGTATCCACCATGGGCATTGCCACCACCATGGGCACCAGCATGTCCAGTGTGGGCACTGGCACCACCATGTCCACCATGGGCATGGCCACCACCATGGGCACCAGTGTGTCCACCATGAGCATGGCCACCACCATGGGCACCAGCATGTCCAGTGTGGGCATGGCCCCACCACCATGGGCACCAGTGTGTCCATCATGGACATTGCCACCACCATGGGCACCAGCATGTCCAGTGTGGGCACTGGCACCACCATGTCCACCATGGGCATGGCCACCACCATGGGCGCCAGTGTGTCCACCATGAGCATGGCCACCACCATGGGCACCAGCATGTCCAGTGTGGGCACCACCACCACCATGGAGACCAGCATGTCCAACATGGGCATTGCCACCAGCATGTCCAGTGTGGGCACTGGCACCACTATGTCCGCTATGGGCATGGCCACCACCCTGGGCACCAGCATGTCCAGTGTGGGCAC